ACGTTTTTTTTTTTTTTTTCTCGTAAAATGCATCGTACCTAGACCCTGTATTTGTCTGCTCACACATATGAGAGCAAAAATAAGACAAAATCTGTGCATGGGAAAAAAAAAAAAAAAAAAAATTTTCAATCGAGCTGTGCGTTGTGTCGTTAAAAAGAGAGTAGTTTCACCACTTAGTCTGCTTCCCCAGTTGCGTGAGTGTCCGTTCCTTTTTCCCCAGTGCGGAACGTTAAGGAAAAGGGACACAGCATGGATCAGTCGCTTGAGTCCCTGTCATATGAGTACATTCGGGAATGCCTTCGGACGAACAGCAGCTATGACGTATCGGTGAGCAAGTACCACGAGGCGGTGAAGTCCAGACAGGGGGGGAGGACGGGACGTGCAACCGCAGATGGAGCAACCGCAGATGGAGCAGCCGCAGATGCAGCAGCTGCGGGAGGGGCAACTGTGGACAAGGGAGCCAAGACCATGCAGAAGAGCACCGGGAAGGCCAAGGCGAACAGCACCATGTACAGCCTATTCGACATGAACATGGTAACTCTGTACGAGGAGTTGCTGGAGGTGTTCAGCTACAACCAAATTGTAATAAAGAATTGTAACTTCACCTTTTCTAAGATTAACAAGACTACGTACCAGGGGCGGGTGTTCGTGTGTTTCGTGATGAATGGAGCTCACGTGAGTGCCCCCGCGTCTGCCCCTGCGTCTGCATCTTCATCTTCGTCCGCGTCTGCCGCTGCACCTGCATCGACGACTTCGAACGAACATGTAAAAATTAAAACAGAGGACTCGAATGCACTAGTAACGCAACCAGACACAAATCCAATTCGAAGGAAGAAAAGTAGCATCCTGCACAGCTTAAAGGTGAAAGGAAACAAAGTATCGAATGTAAAGGAGGTTCTTAAGGACACATTCGATACACTAATTTTTTTCATGATTAACAGATACAATATTAAACTGAAGATAAATCACCCCTATAGGGTGAAGGAGACATGCAGTTATGTAATTAAGAATGAAGAAGTGTATAAATTTTTGCGACACGATAATTATTTTAGGATCGACCTGAACAAATTACATTACGACATTAATGATTACTCTTTTGTTTTTAAAATGAACATAACTCAGTTTAGTGACTTTTTTAAATACATAAAGCATATCCACTCATGTGCTTATTTGATCTCTCTTCTCATTAGAATAATCGCAGACAAAAATAAAATTCACAAGTACAGCTCGCAGCTTTTTTTTTGTAAGAGGAATGAGGAGTGCCTTTGTAATTTGTACATGAGTTTTGTAAAACAAAATCAGGAGAGCTTCCAGAAGATTTTTTTTAATAGCAAATTGGTTAGCATGGACAATATCATTCCTTCTAAGGTGTCGCTAATTGAGGAGGTTAAGAAGAAAATAATAAAAAGGCGAGACTTGACCTACCCCGATGAGCTCTTCATATGCTCCTTCGTCAAGTCTTTCTACACCTTCAAGGTGGACGCAGCAGTGGAGAGGAAGCTCACCGCGGGGGAGGACAAGAATGGGGAGAAGCAGGTGCAGGGTGTCGTCGACGTGAGAGAAGCGAACGAAGCGGTCGACATGGGCGAAGCGGTCGATACGAGCAACACGAACGACGCGGTCGACACGAGCAACACGAACGACGCGGTCGACACCGCTAACATGAAAAACCTGCGCGACTTGCCCTTCACGGGGAAAACCCCACCAAGCGCCCACACAGACCGCACAAACGACGTCACGCACGATCATATACTTATAAGCGACGCCACCAGTGACGAAGAAAGCATTAAAAAAGGGGACTCAGCAAAACCTCCTTGTAAAGGCATCCCCCATACACAAGGCGAACAAACCTATTTAACATACCCTACGAAGAATGGCGAAAAAAATGAAACCACAGGAAAAGCCCCCGACACACATCTTAGCAGTAGCGGGGGAAACATAAAAGGGACCGTTAGTTATTATAGTGGCAAAGGGATACAGGTGGATAAAAAGAATGGCGAGAACAAGGGGGTAAGTTACTTGCAGGACCCTGCTAAAAAGGTCAGATGGTATAAAATGAGCAGCAGTAAAAGTGGCTCCATCTCGAAGGTGAACAATGGTTGGCATGGATTCATATATAGAAACAGCACGCGGGTCCCCTTTTCCGGAGCCATCAAGGGGGAGACACAGGTGCAGTCAGGTGAGCAGCTTCCATCCGCTTCGCAGTCGCAAGTGAACACTTTCGTATCTGTGCAAAATACAGACCAATTGGGGAAGAGGACACGGACCGTCGACGAGTCCATTGTGGGGGACCAGAAGACGGGACGCACGGTCCACGAAAATGTTGGCGCGGACAGCAGCCACAATGCGCTCGATGGTCAGCAGTTTGTAGTTATTAACCTCGATGATAGCACGTGTGAGGAGAGTTCCAACGAGGTGGTGCTGGACAGGGAGCATCGCACCAATGAGCCGCAAGCAGATGAGCGGCCAACCAACGAACCGCCACCAACGGAGCAGCCCACAGAGCGGGTAGACGACGACGCGCCGATCACCCACACGGAAATGCGCCAGGGGAAGAAGGGGGAGGAAATTGAAAAGGGGATGGCGCCCCAGAGTAACAGCCATGACGAGGGTGTGCCCCCCCATTACGGTGCTTTGAAGAGGAGGAAGACCAGCGGGGAGTTGGGCGCAGAGACCATAGACACTGGAGACGTACACGGTAGAGGTTCTGTTAACACCCCTGTTAACCCACCTGTTGCTGCTCCTGTTAGTGCACCTGTTAACACACCTGTTGCTGCTCCTGTTAACATACCTGTTAACGCACCTGTTGCTGCTCCTGTTAGT